CTTGGTAGTCCAGGCTGGCCTCGAACTCACAGAGATCCACCTGGCTCTGCCTCCCGAGTGCTGGGATTAAAGGCGTGCGCCACCACCGCCCGGCGTGATTTCTTATTTTTAAAATTAAAATAAAATGATATTGTTTCCCTTTTCTGATACTTCCCATCCACCAACCCCTGCTCCCTCTCTCTGTAATCCCCTCTGCCTTGTAATCTTTAATTGTTATTACAAACAGAAGTACAACTACTCAGTCCATACATTACTTGTAAATATGTTTTCCAGACTGACCACTTAGTAGTGAAGGACCACTTCTTCCTTGAGGAAAACAATTTCTCCTGCTCTCAGCATCCTTAGTTGCCTGATGCTTCATGTCTAAGGCTGGGGCCTCACAAGGTTTCCTCCTTGCACACCAGCATGTCTCTTAGTGCCATCCTGGACATTAAAGACATTTGTTAACTCATTCACTTTTGAGACCTTTCATGCATGAGTATTGTATTACAGATTGTCAGCTCTCTTCCTCCCCTCTAACTCTTCCCCTGCTCTCCACTCCCTTTCTAACTTATGACCACTCTTTTAAAATTGCTATTATCACACACACACACACACACACACACACACACACACACAGGCACATGTGAGCATGCACACATGCACACATATACAGGCCCTGCTATGTGATTTGGTGTTGCTCATATATACATAAATGCAGAGCTGGCAACTTGGGGTTAGATGGCATATCAGCCATTTCCCTAAAACAATATATAATTTCTAACTGTGTTTTAAATTTAAATTTAGATGGAGACCACTAAGGAGACCCATAACTGGTCAAAACTCACAGTATAAACTCATTTTTATTAGAACATAACCACATTATCTTTACAGAATATGTAAAAATTATTATATTCCAATAGAATTGACTAATCATAGGTGGAGTGCCATAGCCTGCATAGCCTAAAATATTCACTATTAAACCTTTAATGGACAAGGCACCTGACTCAAGAGATAGCCACTATCAATTACCATCCACTCCATGTGTTAAGTAAAGGATTTAGGGATGTCTGAGTCTAGCCTTCCAGCTTGGTGATATCATAGCCCCATAGTATGCTTCTTCCTATACTATAAAGTTTGTAATTTAAGCTACTGTTTTAAACACTCAATTATCTTTTAAAGAAATTCTAAACATAAATATTTAATATTTAGTGATACACTAACCATTCCTAATCTATTTATTCATGTACATAGATATTCTAATTGCAAAAAAAAATCTGAAGCTCTGTATTTTATCTTTTAAGCAATATAAACAGATAGGTGATCAATTGCCCCAGCTTTTAAAATAAAAATTGCTGTGTTACTTTTATTTTAAGGCTACTTTTGGTGAGTATAGAAAGTTCACATGAAGACTTTTCAGTTTCCCCTGGTCAGTACTTGGTTCCATTGCTTTATTTCCTCTATTATTTCTGATGAAAAGCTTCTGCCCTCTAAGGATATTGCAGATTTTATCTTTAACATTCTTGTCTAACAGTGTTGGAACAGGACATTTGTATGTTTTTATTTGTCTTTATTCTGCTTGGATTCAATGAACTCTTAGTCATTTGCACTTATGACTTTAAAACATTGTTTCTCACATATACATTGTCCCAAGTGGATACTAGATAGTCATCCTTTAAGCCTCTTTTTGTTTTCTGCCCCTGAGCTTCAGTTTGCAAGTGGATATAAGCATGTGTGTGTTCTAGTTCAATGATATTTTTCTCTGGTCTGTGCTAGTCATAATCATAACAACTCCCTGAAACAATCAATCCATAAAAGTCCTTATTGGATCACAGTTTTCAGGATCTCAGTCCATGATTAGCTGGCCTTGTTATTTGAGATCTACAGTGGCTTATTTCATGAAAAAAAATGTTATTCATATTATGGTAACTGGCAGACAAAGCTGAGAGAGAGAGAGAGAGAGAGAGAGAGAGAGAGAGAGAGAGAGAGAGAGAGAGAGAGGCTTGTGTCCCAATATCATCCTCAAAAGTACACCACCAATGACCAATTATCTTCCAGTTTCTCCCATCACTTAAAGTACCAATCAGAACCACTAGTGGCACAGGATAGGGCATAGGCCTCAAACACAAGGATCTTTTGAGGATGTTTACCATACCAAGTGCAGTTCGGTTAAATCTTCCAAGAAGGCAGACCAGTAATCTAATTTCAGTTATATGAATCCTAAAGTTCTAAATTTTCTACTTGTTTCTTTAATATCTATGTGTCTTCTTTAAAACAGCAGGACTAATTCTTAATCACTGATAAGTTTTCATCTGGTAATTATCATCATTTCTGTTATTTTGAAATTCATTTCTGCATAGTGATTTTTCTCTGGTTGTGAGTCCTATTTTCCTACTACTCCAAAGACCTAGAGTTTTGAATGTATAATAAACATTACTATACATGTGACTGTTGTTGAATTTTTATGTCCTGCTTTGACCTAGAGTTGATTTGCTTGAAAAAGGAGTTTATGTGTCAAATTGACTTTCAATAACCCCTGTTCAAGGATAATGACTAGCCCTTATTCCATCACCACCACTACCACCACCACCACCACCACCACTGTCATCGTCATCATCATCATCGTCATCATCATCATCATCAGTAAAATATGCCATCCCTTCTTCTACTGGGTGGCCATTCTGGAATTGCTACCACATGACTAGTGTTGTTCAACAAGAACTGTCAGTCTGACCTAGTCTGTGATCAAATTCTTCCAATGTGTGCAACATCTGGGTATTCACCTCAGAATTTCATTTATCTAATCATATGGAGTCTTGACCAGAACACATACATTTGGTCTGACATACAGACTTCATAAATGCCCATTTTGGATTTTCAGTAGTCTTTCTCTACAAAACCACTTCCTTTATAGGAGTCTGCCCTGCTGTATCCAGCTTCCTCAGTAGTTTCAAACTCTGTCCTACCTAAGCCAGGTGGTGGTGACACATGCCTTTAGTCCCAGCACTTGGGAGGCAGAGCCAGGCAGATCTCTGTGAGTTCGAGGCCAGCCTGGGCTATAGAGCGAGTTGCAGGAAAGACACAGAGCTACACAGAGAAACCCTGAAAAAAAATCCTCTGTGCTGCCTCTGCCCCAGTGACACTCTTCTACTCTCTTTGGATCTTCTTCCCATGTCATGATCTAGGAAGTGAATCATTCCCAAATCTGGAAACTAGCATGGCTAACCTCACTTATCCATCCTCTTATATGGGTCTGATTTCAGTCCTCAAAATAGTTATTGCATATTTGCTCGGTTTTCTTAGTTGCTTAGAAAATTGTTCTACTGTCATTCAAAACAATATTTATTCCAAGTAAATAAACACGGTTAAAAGCATACTGCACCTCTGGCAATCCTCAGAGAATAGATTATATTCCCAGCCTTTGAAATAGTTTATTTTTAAAATGATAAATATATTTTGATATGCTTTTTCTTTGATACTTTATTAAATTTTTTCCACCAATTATTCTTTTTAGTATCTCTAAGCACAAAGCCTTATGCCATAATTTCTATCATTTATTTGTGGGCAGTCACAAATATGACTAGAATTTGAATCTTTTTAATCCCTATTAACTCTATTTGACTTTTTAAAATTGCCTTTTCTAACTATTTGCTGGTTAAGTATCATATTTTATCAAAGATATTTAATTTTGTCTAATACCTCAAATAATTTTTATAAACATTTGGCTATCAGGTAACATTGGCTTTACTATCAAGTAACATTATCCCTTACTAATATAGAGTGGCTCATTTTGAACATACCTCATCTCTCATGAGCTTTAGTATATAATTATAATTTATTTTAAGTAACAGGGCATCTACAGGCTTTGACTCTGAACTTCTTAAAGCAAAACATATTTAAAAGTTGTATATAATTGAGTTTTGTTTCATTTACAATTTACTAAATAGTAAAACCTCACATAAGGAAAGCAAAAGCATAACTACTTATTTTTTTTTCCTTATGGTCTTAACAGAAGAGTTCATGGTAAATTGATCAACCCTCAGTCAATTAGACTTTGACATGTACTAATAAGATCTAATTGAGGAATTATGAAGACATTTGCTCAGGAGAAAATGAGCACATAATTACACCATAAAGAGGTTAAAGAATCAATGTTACCCAGCTGGAAGAATATTAGTTGAAGTCCCAATGGCATCAATAAAGGACACTTTATAACACATCTGTGAAATACAGCACTGACTGAAAAGGCCAATTAAGATATGTAGAATAATCCAGCTTTAATTGTAAGAGTTCAGTTTTAAACATCCATTTCCCCTTTGTCTCTGCCCACTGCAGGTGCTGGGGGATGGTCTCCATCAGACAGTGACCACTATCAATGGCTTCAGGTTGATTTCGGCAACCGGAAGCAGATCAGTGCCATTGCAACCCAAGGAAGGTATAGCAGTTCCGACTGGGTGACACAGTATCGGATGCTCTACAGTGACACAGGAAGAAACTGGAAACCTTATCATCACGATGGGAATATCTGGGTGAGTCACTGTCAGAAATGCCAGGATGCAGAACTGAAAGGAGAATATGTGAAAGTGGGAGAGGACTTGCTTGACCTGTTCATAGTTGCAAATATTTATCTGTGAAAACTACTGGAAGGCTACTAATTAACCAGCTACTTAACTAATTCAGTTTTGTACATTAAAGCACCATTTTCTTAGGCTGCAATGCACAACCAGTGCTTAGATCAGTTGGTCTCCGTCTTGATAAATTATTCAAATCACTTGAAGGACTGTTTATATATAAAGACATAAGTCACACCTGGATCAACCAAATCAAGATCATGACCTTAGAAAACCCAACTAAAGAATGGTATTTCAAACCATCATTACAGATCTATATACCCTTTTTATTGTTCCATGGTGAAAAAATATAAAATTTGATCCACATACTCTGAAAATATCTCAGTTGGTTATGAAGTTATGTTTTCAACCAAATAGTCACCATATTTGAATAATTATTTATGGCTAAACTATACATGAGCTATTTTAGTTTATTAAACTATATTTTTTAAGTCTACAATAAAAAAATCAAGTAAAATAACGGGTATAAAACAGAAAGAAGAAAAAGAGAGAGGATTGGCTCATGGTATCAGACAGAGAAATGGGTACTTTCAACCTATCAGTGCTCACTTACTGGAGATAGGTACTTCTTTTAAAGGCCAAATGTTCATGTGAGTTTCTAGAGTTGTGAATTTACTAGATTTGGTAGCCATTACTACATGAGTGGCCAATGATGGCAAGCATAGTGTGAAATAAGCACATGATCCCTAGATAATAATAAATATGTCTCCCCAAGAAGGATTACAGAAATAACTCATCTCAGGCCATAGCAATGTATCAATAATGCCTATGTATTGGAAATTGTAACATATGGGAAACACATTGGAGGGAAAATATCTCTTTGATGAAAAGTTTTCGTTACATTCTGAGGGTAACCCAAAGCCTCAGGTATAAGTTTTAGAAAGGTGATTCTCAAACATAGACAGAAAAAAAAAAAAAAGGTTGTACTAATGTACTTGCGTATGCTTTATAACAATAATAAAAGAGGTAGGTAAATGTAGCTATATTAGACCTTGATTTACTTTGATGGAGGAAGTAGTTAGGGTTAGTCACAACATGACTGGATGCAGATATGTTGAAAAAGTAAGATTGTTCAAGATAACTCGGATTCCTCTGGTGATATATGTAAACACTGGAAATGGTTGTGCCCAGGAAAACACTCTTAAAAGAGCTCATGTGGAGAAGGTAGGCTGTGTATGTGAAGAGTTCAGAGCCTTTTCTGATGCTGATAAAGCATGTGCTTCTGTGATCTTCTCCCATTCTGATACTAGGTTTATCTCTTCCTTTCAAGCTCCTCATTGAAATTAGCATAATGATGAGTGATAAGTAATAAGTGATGATTTCTAGAAGATTCTATATGAGCTAATCATGAAACTGTAAAATTACCAACAAGTTTAAGGTGCAATATAAATATTGTGAAATACATTTAAGTGCTAGTAAGCATGTCACATAATGAGTATAATAACCTATGGCAGAAATGTTTGAATCCCTGCTAATATCAAGAATGATGACTAGTGAAAGTTAATTTGCTTCTATCCGTCCTCAAAAACATTAAGTGATGGAATTTTAACTCTTACAATATCAACAAACTATATCTAGGTTTAAGTTTAGCATTGATGATAATTAAATATTAATTTTTTGTAATTTATTTTTACTTAATATTATGGAATTTGGACTTTTAAATAAATTAGACAAAGTTGATAGGCCTTTTGGTTGACAGAATGCTACAAGATGACATTTTTGGGTAATCAGAATGTTTCAAAGTTGATATGGTTTTGAGCTAGCATTTCTTACTCATCCTATGATCGACAACCTGAGGAGAATGGAGGGCAAAGTAAATTCTAGCTTTTGAATAAGATTTTTAACAAATATAAGTGCCATTTACCTCTATAATAGTTAAAGAAATGGGTGATACAGCTAATACAATATTTTTCAAAGTCCATGTAAAAAATTTGAGTGATTTTACCATCATTGGTGCCAGAAAAAGGAGTAAGTGTTAAAAACAAATGTCATTCCCTAGACTTCATACTGTAAGCATTAACTGAAATCAAGCACAGTTACCAGCACTGAGTCCTCATGACAACAGTCCTATCAGTATCCGTGTGCTGAGGCCCCCTGGCTCCAATAGATAACCCATTGTCACACAGAGGTCCTGGTTAATCTTGGTGGCTCACAAAACAATAATAATAGACATGAATGCAAGAGGGTTTCACTGGGAGGGGATAGGGTGAACAGGAGCAGTGGTGAGGTAGGGATGGGGTAAGAGTGGTCACTAGGCAAGGTGTGAAATTGTTTCAAAAATGAAAATTAAAGGATAGCAGCTATCAACTAATATGTATCAAGTAAACAAAGGGAACAAGTTACATACATGAAAAATGTCGGCATATCACACATTTTTAAAATCATGAATCTTTGTCTGAAATGGTTTCTTGAAAAGATTCCTAAGATGGCCTATTCAAATATTTTACCTGCAAAGATGTAAGCTGCTAAATGTACCTAACTAGCCAAATCTTCCAGTCCTCTCATTTATTTAACATAATGCAATCCTGTGTCCCTTAGTGACAAGGACATTTCCTTCTATGCAGTATCCCCTTTGCAATGTAAATGACAACATTCAGATAGGCAAAAAATGGCCCCTCTCATTGCGATAACACAGTTCTAGAACTCAAATTTGCACACTTCTATTCAATTTTTCAGGGTCTCCTATTTATGAAGGTAAAAAAGAAATATTGTATGTAATAGTCTCTTACTAGATGTCCATTAAACATTACATTAAATAAGAATTCTACATTTTAAGTTGCCTAAGAAATTTACTTACTCAGGTTTCAAAGCAGATATTTGAAATACAAATAACAAAATACTTATTAATGGAAAATAATTTTATATTATATATTTATTTTATTTGTATTATTTATTATATATAATTTTATATTTCATAAGATATATGTTCCAAATTTACCTGTATAATGTAGACACAATGTTCTTTCTCTGTAGGAATTTTTTCCTTGAACACGAGAAAATGAGTATATATTTCTAATCATTTCTTAAAGAGCTTTGACCCCTTTTGATAATAGTCAGCAGGTGTTAGACAAAATTAATTACCACTGTATGTCTTGGGGATTCCTACTGTGGAGAAATGTCTTATCATATTGAAATTACATAGTTAGAGTCTCAGTAAGAGTATGGGAATATATATATGCTGCCATTATCTAACACATCAAATAGAATATTAATTAATAAGACCTTTAAAAACTTGAACATTTGTCACTTTTTTAAATATAATTTTAGCACAAAAAGCATCACCTTAACTCATGAAGTTTCTTTGTTTCAACCAAATTTGAAGCATCCCAAACATTTGGAATACACACAGATATCAGCAGGGAAAATTTTACTTTTTGCAATGTCGAATCAATAACTTCATTTCTTGATTAACACTAACACTTAGATAATTGATACTAACATTTAGATAATGAAAGTTTCCAAACTACTTTCTTTCTTTTTTTTTTTTTTTTTTTTTTTTTTTTTTTTTTTTTTTTGTAACAGCTCTGGCTGTTCTGGAACTCAGTTTGTAAATCAGACTGGCCTCTCAAACTCAGAGATCAGAGATCAACCTATCTATGGCTCCTGAGTACCAGGGTTAAAGGTGTGCATCACCACCACTGGGCTTCAAGCTACTTTCTTCAATGAGATTATAACATGTTGATTAGGAAGAGAAAGTTGAGCTGTGGCGTCAAAGGTCTGAATGAAGCATCTTGACTCATTCATTTGTTTCATATTACGGAAAGTTTCAAGGTTCCCCTGGGGCTGAAATTCCTAATTTGAAAATTAGAGAAACAACCAGGATGTTAAATTGCAGTTATATAAGTAAGCAAATTTAGCAAGATACAATACTTTAGAAACGCAAGTATTACCCAGCCTAGAAGCAATTTACCCATCACGTCTTCAGTGATGAGCACCTCAAATACTTCGATCCCCTCTGTCCTTTGCACATTCAAACAATACCTCTGTTTACTCTCATGCATGACTTAAAATACCCAACAATATTGCCAATGACGGAAACATGACTTCACAAAAGAGGTAGAACATAAGCGAATCTCTGACATGCTTTCCAAATGAACACAGGGAAGAGAGTCCCTTAATACATCAGTGCCTGGCGCGCGGCAATTCTGGCCAGGGACTCGGGGCTGTGAGGCCTTGCTCTGAGCCAAAAGTCAGTGTAGTGCTTGTAACAGATTATTTGTTACCATAATGAAGGCCTTGTGTGCAATGAGCCATGTAAGGGGACAGCGTTTAAAAATGAGTGGGTGATTCTGTCCTATCTCTTCAACCATTTGTCATAGGGGTTGCACTAATTTTCCAAATCATTTAAAAATCTGTTCTTATTAGGAATGCGCAACACGAGTGCCTGTGTTCCACACTGCAGTCGTATGCTTAGAATAGTCTTTCTGCATACGGCACTAAGGAAGCAAAATCCCTCCCCAGGCTTGTCCATTTGTCCTCATCAGACAATAGCACCAACTGCACCGCTTGCCAATGCAGTTTTCTTCATGGTGATCTGAGGTTACTCTTGTTCACTTTCACACGCAAATGTGAAATCAGGTATTTGGGGGAAAGACAAAGCAGGCATATTTGAAAGAACTGTATCATTTATTGAGCAATAAAGCACGTAATAACTATCTCATTAAATATTTTCCAAAATGATCTTTGACATAAGTAAGTAAAAATCTTTAGTACTTATATAGGATAAAATGAACTCCAAGATTAATTCAAAACAAGCTCCTTGGTTCTGTGAAATAGATTTTTCTATTTACACCTCTTTTTGACTGGCTGATATTTTTAAAGTTCCATGAATTTTAATAAGCCTAGTGGGCATTCAGATCCTTTGATGAACACTGTTAATGCCTCTATTGTGGATTTGA